GCGTTCGGTGGACAGACTGCTGTGTCTGCTCGGGGATTTGGTTACCTCGGGAACGTTGGTGGCCAAGCCCAGGCTGGCAGAAGAGATGGTGCTGTCGGATCCCAGGGAGGTGTTGGATTGCGTGAGGGACGACTTGCGCAGCTTGTTCTTCAGGAAGAAGCCCTTGACTTTGGACTTCTTGCCCCCAATGTCATAGTCATCCTCCATGTCGAGGGCGCCCATGCTGCTGGGAATGATGGCAGAGGCCGACTCCAAGTCATATTTCTTCTTGCCCTTCACCTTGTCCTTCAGCTTGCCAAAGGGCGATCGTGGCTTGTTAAATTCATGGACAAGTCGAACATGCTGGCTGTGAGGTTGTTGCGTGTGAACTGGATGCTCACCAGGATCTCACCACGCTCCTTCTCCTTCTTCCCAGCCTTGGAGTGTAGCTTGTGCCACCTGAAGCCAGAGAGGAAAGAAAAGGAAAGGCCCCTCTGTCATTTCCAAGAGCCACAAGCCAGGATGCTGCTGGGTGGGAGTTAGCACAAGCGCCCCAGAAGACACCTAAGACCTGAGTCAGAGACACACAAACACCAGGTATGGAGGTGTCACACGGAACCAGACCTCTCCCTGAACCACAGCAGCTCTGTAAGAGCCCTGTCTCCATCCCTCTCCTAAAGCACTTCCACTAAATAACCTGGCAAACACCATCTCACTCACCCGAGGTGTCAGGGGGAAAGTTACTGGTGGCCAAATTTTCGTACGGTCAGTTGATGCGTTGCCGTGAACCCGTGTTAAAGACAGCACTTTGTGCTTGTGTTTTAAATATTCAAGAGCCAGTGACTCAGAACAAAACCCTTCAAGTCGGAGACAGTACCGTAATGGCAAAGGCACTCAACAACATCCATTAAAATAACTTTATGCCAGACCCTCTGTGCCTCACCCTAAACAAAGAGGCTGAAGTTTGCCTAGAAGTGTCCTTGCATCAAGCATTTAGAGGACGCTGCATCCTGGGAGCCCTTCACAGGCAGGAGGAGCTGCCGTGTTGCACCTATCCTACCCAACCCTACCCAACTCAACTCATCCCTACCCAGGTTGCTGGATTTTTGGGACATATCTGCATTCCCACAGCTGGCCGATGGCAGTCTCCAGCCTACGATACAGCTTTGGGATCTGTAATGACTTGATGCGATTGGTGATGGTAGAGGACGCAGCAAATCTATATGTCCATCACCTTTCCCTCCTCCAAATCCCTCAATTCTGTTGAAATGTCTGTAAAATTTGAGGCAGCCAGAAGCCTGAGCTGAGGAGGGACAAGGACTCTATTTTAACAGGACTCGCTCTGGTTGCCAAAGCCCAGCACGGTGCTGCAGGGGCTGGTGAGACCTCCCAAAGGAGAAATTGGCCATAGCCACCAGCGCAAAAGCTTCAGTCGACTCTGCTGCAGGTTACTGGGGAATGCTCCCCGCTGCCCTGCCCCAGACAAAACTCATAACACAAACTTTGCTCCATAGCTTTGCACACAGAGATGGAAGGAACATGGGAAGAGCCTCCAAAATATTCACTGCAGAAGGGAATATAAACCTCCCAACGCTCATTTAGGGCCCAATCCTTCCGCAGGGAATAACCTGTGCACTGGCAGGGCACAGAGCAACCGCTGGTATGCGTTGGGAGAAGGGACTTGTCTCCAGCCAGCTGGAATGAACGAGTGAGAGGACACCAAAACAAGAGATGCCTGGATACACCTTCTAGTTCTCCAGTTCACACCAGTACCACGTTCAGATGTGGCAGCACGAAACACGGGCCACGAGGGAACCATTTCTTCCCCAAAACTTCCGCCAACCCAGCAGTCCTTCGCTCCCTTCTCCTCCCTTGAGATGCCCCGTCTTTCTGTACCAGTTCCAGGTGCTGCCTCCCGGGGTGGCTGCAGCAGGACAAGCAGGTCTCCAGCACAGCCGCTGCCCCGGCAGCTCCGATCCCTCCCGGATCAAAGTATTAAAATTCCCCTTAACAAGGTGCAAGGAAATCTGTAGGTTCAGGACCTACAGACCCTATTTCTCTGTGACATGCTTTGCAAGCGAAGCAGGCAGCAACAGGAGGTGACGGAAATTTCTAGACCTGGGTTAAAAATTTCCCAATGATTTTCCAGAAAATAAAAATCCCGGCGATGTTTTACATCCACTTGAAAAGTGAAGTCACTGAAAAGAAAAAAAATAAGGGAAGGAAAATGTGAAGGGACAGAGACGGGTGTGACCGTGCTGAAATCAGCAGGGCAAGGAGAAAACTTGAATCGTGTTCTCCAGAAGTTTCTGAATTACTGCTGGGGAAGTTAACTGCATCTTGGATGAAAAGAGGAGCTGGGAAGCCTGGGGAGCCTACATTGGACCTTGGGAAGGGGGCATAAAACCCCCAACTCCCTGCTGGGATGCCCGGATAAACAACAGGAGTGTACAGCTGGATGCACCCAGGTCCTTCGCCATCCAGTTCTGCTGCTGCCAAAATGCAGGAGGGACAGCGCTGGGACTTTGCTGGGCACAGACGCAGCATTAAATCCCCAGTGAACCCATTCCTATTCCTACCACTTGCTTATCCCACTCCCATACCATGCCCACTGCAAAACTCTCAGTACCCAGACTTCCGAGCTTGAAAATATCCACGCATGCAAAAAAAAAAAAAACATGGAAAAACATTAACCCCTTACAGCGAGTCATCGGCTGCAAAGAGACACCCGAAGAGGCTGATCCGCTGCCAGGAAGCAGTTAGGGGAGCAGGACTAGGTGAGTCAGGCAGACTCTTCCCGTAGGAACGCTGAGGAAAAGGCTGCTTGGAACAGGCTGCGGCCACAGCACATCAAATATTACGTTGCTCAGTTTGATGCAAGACCTGGAAGAAGTTCAACAGGGAAGGGCTGCAGCAGGCTGCCAGCTGGGAGAGGAGAGATTTGGGGGCTGAATCGTTTAGCAGGGGGAAAAAAAAAAAAAAAAAAAAAATCTTGCAAGCTTGAGTTATCTCTTACGTCATCCTATGGAAAAAGAAAAACAGAGAAAAAATCTGGGTGGATTAACATAAGGAAAGGCATGAGCTTCTGAGGACGATGAGATGTAACAGCCCCTAAGAGCTCAGCGCTGGCTCGGCTCACACGGATACGCTCTCAGCATCTCCCATCCCATAATGCTGCGGTGATTAAAATTAATTTGGGTGCTCGGCGGCAACACCTTTGAAAGAACAAGCTTTAAAACTTGATTTGCTTCAAAAAACATCCGTTCAAGGAAAAACCTCTGCTTATGCTGGCGCTGGATTAAGGAGCTATTTTTGGTTCCCAAGACCTAATCAGCAGTCTGCAAGCAGCTGGGACTACACCTCAAACAGGGAACCGCGCTATTTTTAGGTTGAGCTTGAAGTTTATGGCACAAGATGAGCATTTGGGAGGATTAAGTCGTTCCATGTTGGGTTTTTCTGTTGTTTTTTTTCATGAATCAGTTCCAGTGGAAATAGGAGGTGCAAACACTGCCTCAGCCAGGCTGCGGCAGGAGAGCAGATCAGGGCAGGTTTCAAGTCCCAGTCCTGCTAAACACAAACTCCTGCAGCATCCTTTCGCTATTAACCCCATCCCACACCCCTCGGTCTCCCATGTGTCCTTCACGAGATGCCCTTGAGGGGCAAGCCCTAGGTGGGGGGTTCCAAATTAGGGCCACCCGAGCCAAAGCCTCAGAGAGGGACATGAGAGAGGTCTCTTTTAGGGGACTAGATGATATGCCCAGGTCAAAAATAACAGCTTCTGCACGTACAAACCCTTTTCCAGGTCTGAAATAGCAGCCTTGGGCTTCGCAGCTCAGGCTCAGACCAATCACTCTGAATTTAACTGGGTTATATTAATCAGACTGTGGAAGAGGCGCTGGCACCAAGGAGCACAATGCCGAGCACATCCAGCAACAGGGACCCAGGACTGCGAGGACCAGCTTCTCGGAGGTGTTTTGGAGACATCTCTTGAGGAAAGTGCCACCAGCTTGGGCCCAGCTCCTTGCTGCACAGGACAGCCAGGAAAAGCCAACCATCTCTGGCCACCTACTCCTGGGGTGCTGTTCTCAGCAAGGTTTGGAGGGGCCTGACATGGATTTTGCTTGTTAAAAAATGCTGAATTAAAGAAGCTGTCTTGTCCCAGTGCTGGAGCTGGTGGGGACAGGATTGCTCCTAGCTAAGGAGACATGCTCGGTTCCGGAGTCTGTGCAAAAAAACTGCAAATGGAAACAGGTCTCCCCCTGAACACGGAGCAGAAGATGAAACCTGCAGCTTCCCAGTCTGCTGGTCCCATATCAACACCCTTCTGCTCAGTGGAAAACTGCTCCTTTCCACCCGTTAGCTACTGCCCACCTCCACTGCAAGGCGATGCTTCTGCTGAGACACCACAGCCCTGGCCCTGTGCAGAGATGGGCTTGCTCAGAGACATCTCCAACGCTGCACGTCCAGGCAACACAGCTCGAGCCAGCCTGAGGACACAAGCTGCATGTTCAGGCAACTACCTTTCGCTAAAAACCCCGATATTCTTCCATCTTACATCCCACAGGTCCAGCATCTCTGTGCATTGCCTACTTGTAGCACTGCACCCTGCTGGGTGTGCATCTCCCAAAGGCAAAGGGCTTCTCCCAGCCTCACCCTGGGATCCGCCCTCCACGGATGCCGTGGCAGGGAAGGGGTAGCATGCGGGCACCCAGACCCCGGGGATCTCTGTGGGGGGAAGGAAACAGCAAGCGGCCCCAGCACACAGGGACAGGAGAGGAAACCTCAAACAGAAAACTCCCCGCAGATGCCCTGGAAAGGGGAAGCAGCTGGAGGCCTCTGTGAGGTCTCGGGCAGCTCCTCGGAAGCGAGACGTGCTCTGAGGGTTTGCAAGCTCACATCCCACTGCAGTGACACTGCTCGGGAGCGTCGGTGTCCGGCGGAGGGCTCGGCAGCCCCCCGCACGGCTGCGCACGCTCATTTAGGTCACCGTGTTTAATCAGCGCATCCGAACTGCCTCCAGAGAGGTCCAGTAAAACCCTTTCCGTGCAGAGACTCCTCTCTCCTCCCACTCGCCTCTGCTGAGAGACAAGGAGAACGGCGAGCCACGACGCACGGCTGCCAAAAGGCAGGTTGAGGAAAGGCGGAAAGCGCCCGGCATCTATTTTTACATTTGCTGTTGCCAGGATCAATTGGAGAAGCAAAGGAGGCACGGAGAGCAGAACACAAAGCGCTGCTGTATCTCCAGGCTCCCAAAAAAACATGTCCCTTCCCTCATCCTTCACCAGCATCCCATCCCGGAAAGTCAGCTAGTGCTGAGCAAAAGGAAAACACATCCTAGCATGGAAACAAGAGTGTAAGAGCCATTTGCTAAGGAGGGAAAGCAACCCCACGGAGGACGGAGACAGGATGGTTTTGCGCTGGGTCAGCACCCGGTTCGCACTGTCCCCTCTCCGCTGCTC